CCCCCGGGGGGCCCCCCCCCTTGGGGGCCCCCATCAGGGGGCCCCCCTATGCGTGAGCTTTCTTTGTCTCCTTCTGCTGTGTAATCAAAACCCTAAACCCTAAACCCTAAACCCTAAACCCTAATTGAGCAGAGATTCTATAATATGCATTAAAAACCATCATACACCCTAAACCCTAAACCCTAAACCCTAAACCCTAAACCCTAGACCTTCGATCATATAATATTTTGTTTCTTTTTTTCTATTTTTTTTCTTTTTGTTTTATCTTCTTCTTCATTCTTCCCTATGACCAATACCCCTAGGGGCCCCTCCAGGGGGCCCCCCGCCTCGGGGGCCCCCCATGGGGGCCCCCCCAAAGCCCCTTTAGGGGGGCCCCCAGGGGCCCCCCGCCCCTCATCTGCTGCAGTCGCTGCTCCTGCGCAGCGGAGAACCCATAAGGGTACCAGGGGGCCCCCTAGGGGCCCCAAAGAGCCATCAGGGGGCCCCCCTACTACCCCTGCTAATACTGTGGGGGCCCCCAGTGTAGGGGGCCCCACAGGGGCCCCCCCGTCCAACCCTTCAGGGGCCCCTCGTCGGGGCCCCCGGGGGGGCCATTCTGCAGGCCCTTCTAGGGGGCCCCCCCGCTCCAACCCCTCGGGGGCCCCACCAGGGGGCCCCCTTGGGGGCCCCCTTTTGAACCCTCCTGAGGCATCCCCTGGGGGCCCCTCTGGGGGCCCCTCAGGGGCCCCCCCTTCTAAACCCCCTGGTACCCTTTCTGGCGGCCCTTCAGTTCCCCCCGGCGGTGATCCTCATGGGGGCCCCCAGGGGGGCCCCCACAAGGGCCCTCATCAGGTGGGGGCCCCCAAGGGCCCCCAGGCAGGGGGCCCCCAGGCAGGGGGCCCTCAGAGAGGAGGTCCCCGCAAGGGTCCCCAGGGGGGGCGCAACAAGGGCCCCCAAGGGGGGGGCCCCCCTGGGGGCCCCCCTGGGGGCACCGTGCCTGGGGGCCCCATCCCTGGGGGCTCTGTCCCTGGGGCCCCCCCCGGGGGCCCCGCCAAAGGGGGCCCCGCAGGGGACCCCGTCCCTGGGGGCCCCCCTGGGGGCGCCGTCACTGCGTCCCCCCCAGAGGGCCCCGTCCCTGGCGGCCCCCCTGGGGGCCCTATCCCTGGGGGCCCTGTCAGTGGGGGCCCCCCAGGGGGCCCCGTCCCTGGGGGCCCCTCAGAGAGCCCCATCCATCGGGGCCCTATCCCTGGGGGCCCCGTCCCTGGGGGCCCCCCCGGGGGCCCCCCTGGGGGCCCTATCCCTGGGGGCCCCCTCCCTGGGGGCCCCTTGAAGGGTACGTGTTGCTGCCGGGAGGTGGTGAGTGTGAATGTGGGTGTATTGGGTCACGTAGATAGCGGTAAGACGGGTTTATGTGTTTGTTTATCTTTTGTTTGTTCTACTGGGGGTTTCGATAGAAGTAAAGAGAGCAGAGAGAGAGGCATTACTATAGATTTAGGGTTTAGTTCTTTTGTTATTAAACTCCTTTATAATAATTGGTGCTGTGCTTGTTGCTGCAGCAGCAACAGCAGCAGCAGCAGCAGCAGCAGTAGCAGCAGCAGGAGTGGGGGGGAGAGGCAAACCGGGACTCGGGCGGTGGAAGATAGGAAAGATGCAGCAGCAGCAGCAGCAGAAACAGCAGCAACTGCAGCAGAAACAGCAGCAGCAGCAGCAGAAACAGAAACAACAGCAGCAGCAGCAGCAGCAGCACCATCACCACCACCACCACCAGCAGCAGCAACAACAACAGCAGCACCAGCAACAGCAATAGCAGCAGCACCAGCAGGTGCACCATCAACAGCAACAGCAGCAACAGCAGCAGCAACAGCAGCAACTGCAGGAACAGCAGCAGCAGCAGCACCAGCACCAGCAGCACCAGCAGCAGCAGCAGCAGCAGCAGCAGCAACAACAACAGCAGCAGAAGTTTGTTTGGTAGACTGCCCGGGGCATTCATCTCTTATAAAAACAATTATAGGGGGGGCTCATCTATATGATTTGTCTCTTCTTGTTATCGATATAAATAAAGGAATACAAGTACAAACAGCAGGTAAATAAATAAATATAAATAAATATAAATAAATATAAATATAAATATAAATAAATATATATTAATTTATTTTGTTGATAGAAAAAAAAACAAAAAAAAAACAAAAAAAAACAAAAAAAAAAGAAAAAAAAAGCTCATTTGTATGATTTGTCTCTTCTTGTTATTTGTATAAATAAAGGAATACAAATACAAACAGCAGGTAAATAAATATAAATAAATAAATAAATAAATATAAATATAAATAAATAAATATATATTAATTTATTTTGTTGATAGAAAAAAAAACAAAAAAAAAAGAAAAAAAACGAGCTCATCTATT